AGGCAAGCATTAATTAAGGGGCTATAGTGGAGAGTTTTTATTTTTACTCCTACAGGTTTTCATTTAAAGTAGAGCAATTAACACAGACACACACAACTCACATAGACCTGTAGTGCCGACCACTGGCATGTGTATGTTACAAGACTGGCTGAAACATGGAAATTTCTACCTAAGCATGTAGATACCAGACAGAATGCATGGATATATGAAGGTGATAAGAGGATGCCAAGAGCTGATTTTTCAAAGATCTCTTGAGACAAAAAGTCTCTTTTGGTGCCATGAGATGTTTGAAACACCCTCTCTTAGCATTTCCTCGCCTATGAGATTTCAAATTCATGCACATATTAACTTTATATCTGTCTCTACTAATTCTTGGTTTTTACTGAAACCTTTAAACTGTATGAGCTCATCAGTATTATAACTTTGAACACAAGACAAAAGGACAACAAACACGGCAGACAAAAGACAAAACAACACATTGAGGCCTCTTACAACACCTTTCTCCTTTTTATTCTCATCTGTTCTTCATAATTCTGTTAACACATTTTTCTTCTTATTCTTACCCATATTTTAGACTCTTCTGAGTTTTAACACTTTTCCTATTAATAACAAAAGAGAATTCCAAAGGGAGTTGCAGGTTCTATATCAGCTTTTCTACTAAAAGGGCAAGACTATAGAATTCAGCATCTGACAAAGCAGGGATAGATATAAAAGCTACAAATTGTTTTAATAAATTTCTTTCCCAAAAATTAGCACTAATGTATAGCACATAAAATTACATTTGAGCCTTTTTGTCATCAGGTTCTACACAATCATAAATATTCTTAGACCTTTCAACATTGAGAGAGGTTCCTAATTCAGAAAGAGTTAATGTTAATTTTTTGTAAAGGCCAATTATGAGACTAATTATTTTTTACTAATAACAGACACATTAGCTTTTATATCCACAAGACCTGTAAAATAAATTTGATTAACAGAAAAAGAGAGGACTTTTGATCATTAATGATGGTATTTCCAACACAAATATTTCTCAGTACTTCCAAATCCTATTACTTTTGATCTGTAGGAAATGCATGATAAGCGAGAACCAAAAGTTGAGCAATTATTTAACTGGTTTGTAGGAAAAGGAACAATATTTTTATTACTTCTAATGAAGAATTTTTGATACTAAAGAGCTGAACAGAAGATTGCAAAAAGCAGCTCGGAATGACAAAGCAAAATATTACAGTTAAATGTGCGAGGAGCTAGAGTTGGAAAATCAAAAGGGCTGAACTCATTCAGCATCTCTTAAGCTCAAGGAAATGAAGAACAAATTCAAACCTAGAGTTGCTATAATCAAGGATGCTTTAGGCAGAATATTAAACGATCAGGTAGTATTAAAAGAAGATGGAAGAAATATACTGAGTCATTGTATCAAAAGGAATTGGCAGATACAGAAGCATGAAATAACTTATGAGCGAGAGCCTATGGTGATGAAGGAAGAAGTTCAAGAACAGCTAAGATTTTTGTTAATGAAATTCTAGTAAGAAAAAGCAGTGACGGGAATTTTCTCAGGGCCAAAACAATGGTAATAGTCATTTAAACAATCTCCTACCCTATGCCATTACTTAGAATCAATAATTCCTTCTTGCGGAAACCATGGGCAAACATCTTCTAAAAACAAGAAAAATTTCTTTAAATCTTTTTTAGTTACCCTTATACCTTGTGCCTTGAGGGAATCCTTGATACCCTTTACGAACAATTCATGTTCACTTAATCCCTGTCCCATAATTTGCTGCCCTTACCTCCTCTCATGCCTGTCTCACAGGGCAGGTAATCCCATGGTGGCAGCTACATGCCTGTCTCACAGAACGAATAGTCCTGCAGCTGGCAACAGTGCGAGTCTTCACTCGTGGTCCCAGACTCACAGCGACTCAATGGATGGACCGGCCAGTCACTTCTAGTGGGCAGCGTTCATCGTCCTTCCCCGTTCCTGGGCCCCATGTTGGGCGCCAATTATGCCCTGGCCCACGGGGATCTTCAATGGTGACCCTAGGAGGGGAAGAACGAGAATGGAGGGGGGGACAGAAGGCACAAAAAGCAGGAAGACAAGTAGAATTTCCGATCAAGTCTTCATTTTATTGAATATATACAGGAGCACAATGGGGGGAGTGGAAAGAAGTAAGGTTACTTAGCAGGGCATTCCCAGTAAACCAAAACCTATCCTCCCAAGGTAGGGTAAACTGAAACCTATCCTCCTGGGGCGGGGGGGCAACATGTCCAAACATGTTCTTAGAGAATTACACAATGGCTTCAGCTAGGTAGAACAAGCGGCTCCCAGCACCTCCTCTGACCCTGAACTCCACTGTCAGGGAGGTCTGTCCATGGGCCACAGTGCCGTGTGTCTCTGTCTCCCCACCTTGTGGCGGGTCTGCAGCCGTACAGCACACGCCCCAGGAGGGGGGCGTCCGAGACCGGCCATCTTGGCCTCACCCCTTTCTCCTCGTCCCACAGTTCTCACTAATGGTGACCTTTCCTGACGTACCGCTCGGCATCTTTCTGTTCTGCGTGTGTGTGATCACCATCGGGCTCGTTCAGGTGAGAAGTCCAGCCCTGCACCGTGTGTGTGTGTGTGTGTGTGTGTGTGTGTGATCACCATCGGGCTCGTTCAGGTGGGAAGTCTGGTCCTACACTCTGTGTGCGTGTGAGAGCAAGTGTGCACGTGTGAGCTTGTCTGTGCCTGTGCTGTGGGTGTACTCACTATAGGGTTTGTTCAGGAGGGCAGTCCAGCCCTGCGTCCGCTGGGCATGTGTGTGCACGAGCCTCTGTGTGTGTGTGTGTGTATGTGAGAGAGATCAACATGAGGCTTGTTCGGGTGAAAGGCACAGTTCTGTTCTCTCTGTCTCTCTGCCTCTGTGTGTACGTGTGTGCACACAAACGTGATCACCATGGGACTTGTTCAGGTTGGAGGCCAGATGTCTGCCCTGTGTCTGTGTGTGTGTGCACATGTGCACATAATCACCATCACTATCACTACCAGACTCGTTTAAGTCTTAGGCCAGGTCTGCACCTGTGTGTGTGTGTGTGTGTGTGATATCACCACGTGGCGTGTTCAGGTCTGAGGCCCAGGTCTGCACCCCTGTGTGTTTGCGTGTGTGAGATCACCACGTGGCATGTTCAGGTCTGAGGCCCATGTCTGTACCTGCGTGGGTGGTGTGCACACGTGTGTGTGAGTGCACATGTGCACACTCACCATTAGCTCGTCCAGGTATGTGTCCATGTCAGTGTGTGTGTATGCTTGAGAGTGTCTTTACACACACACACACACACACACACACACACGTGTGCACTGGCACATGAGCAGGACTGCCTGTCTGCTGGCTGCCACCCTGATGGAGCCCACACTCTACATGCCACAGAAGGACAGGTCTGCAGGGAGGAGGGCCAAGGGACAAGCAGGTGAGGTGCCGAGCCAGAGGGTGCAGCGGGGCCCAGCAAGAGATGAGTGGGCTTTAGCCATCCTGTGGGGTCAGCTGGGATGGGCAGGTGGTGGGGCTGCCCTCTGCACAGAGATCTGGGCTCCGGCCAGTGGTGAGCAGATGGGAGCTTCCTGGGCATCTCCCCACACGTACAGGACATGGCAGGGTGCAAGCCCCCCTGTGCGCACTGTGGGCCCTGCTTAACCATACACACACTTGTACACGCGCGCACACACACCGCCACCACCCCATGTGCGTTGTCACCCTGCAGCCTGTGTCTCCCTCTCACCTAGCCTTTCACTGCCCACACCTGCTACCCTCCCCAGGACATGGGACATGGCAGGGTGTAAGGCACACACATACACACACACAGATACACAGCGCCCCCACTGCCCCCACCCCATGTGCGCTGTCACAGTGCAGCCTGTGTCTCCCTCTCACCTAACCTTCCACTGCCCACACCTGCTTCCCCCCCCAGGACATGGCAGGGTGTGACACACACACACACACACACACACACACACACACACACACACCCGCCACCACTGTACCGTTCCGTGTGCACTGTCACCCTGCAGCCTGTGTCTCACTCTCCCCTAGCCCTTCCACTCCTGACACCTACTCCCCCCACCCCCCCCAGGACACAGCAGGGTGTGAGTGACACACACAGATACACACCGCCGCCCCCACCCCGTGCGTGCTCTGTCAGCTGCAGCCCACGTCTCCTTGTCCCCTGCAGGCGGTGATCGTGGCCTACGCCTTCCACTACCCACACCTGCTCAACCCGCAGATCTCGCGCTCCGCATGCAGGGACGCCTTCCGCCAGCACCTGCTGGGGCTGGTCCTCCGCGGGCCCGCGCTCTGCTTCGCAGCTGCCCTCTTCTCCCTCTTCTTCTTCCCACTGGTGAGTCTCCCCACTTGGGGACACCGCCACCAGGCCAGGCCGGGGTGATCAGCTAAGGAACTGCCCCACTGTGGGGCCTAGGGTGTGGGAACCACAGCAGCCCAGGCCGGGGTGATCAGGGGAGGAACTGCCCAGTTCTGGGGACCAGGGTGTGGGGACCTCAGCAGCCCAGAGTGTGGGGACCACGGTGTCCCAGGCCAGGGTGATCAGTGGAGGAACTGCCCTACCGTGAGGATCAGGGTGTGGAGACCACAGTGACCCAGAGAGTGGGGACCACGGTGGCCCAGGGGCAGGGAGATGAGAGCATGCACTGCCCAGCTGTGGGGACCACAGTGGCCGAAGCATGGGGACAGGGTCTAGTACAGGCCAAGATTGGATCACTGACAACTGAGGGTCCAGCAGCAGCAGGGAGTGAACAGGCCCCAGCGCCTCCATCCAGGACCCCTGATGTTGACATCATGTACACTCTCAAAGTGAGAAGTGGGGGCCTCTGCTTCCCTGGGCCCCAGGGCTGTGGTGAAGCAGTGAGTCTTCCCGGAGAAACGAGGCCATCAGTTCCCTTTTCCCTGGAATCCCTGACTCACGCGGGACTGTGCCTGTGTCTGGAGAAGCTGTAACATGACTCAGCAGAAACCAAGGCCCCGAAAGAGTGGGCAGTGACGCGTGCGTGTGCGTGTCACGGGACAGGACACCGCACGGCTGGCAGTGACGAGAGAGAGAGAGTGTGTGTGTGTGTGTGTGTGTGTGTGTGTGTGTGTGACGGGACAGGACACCGCATGGCGGGCAGTGACGCATGTGTGTGTGTGAGACGGGACAGGACACCGCACGGCGGGCTGTGACGAGTGCGTGTCATGGGACAGGACGCTGCATGGCAGGCTGTGACGTGTGTGTGTGTGTGTGTGTGTGTGTGTGTG